GGCTGCAGGAGGCTGTTGCAGCTGAAAACAGCCTGGGGTGGGCTGCACATGGGCCTCCAGGCTCCATTTTCGCTGGCATAGGGCTGCAGGAGGCCATTGTGGACCAAAAATGGAGCGCATTTGCTGGCAAAGGACTGCAGGAGGCCATCACGGCCAAAAACAGAACCTTAATGTTTCGTCCCTATGTCCCGCCCCCTCCTGTCAATCAAGCATGTTGCTAGATGATTGGACTAAGTGTGTTTGCACTCAGGTGGGAAAATTGGTGCATTGTTTATTGGTTAACACTCTGACAGCTGGGAGTATAAAAGATCTGTCAGAGCGCAAATCGTTGTCTTGTTCTGGTTGCTTAGTTGAAATAAACCTGTTGCATGAACGCAATACCTCAGATGCTAAGCACATTATACCTAACAAGTGTTGTCAAGGTGGCTCCACCCACCTTGGCCACCCCCACCCCCAGTCCCCTGTAGTCAAACACAATCCTGATGCAGCCGTCAGTAGATCGAGTTTGACACACCTGGACTAGAAAGTAAGAAAGCACTCTGAAAAGCAACGGTAAGCAATTTCAGTACTGTTGCTCTCAAGCAGTAGATTTATAATCACCAGAAATTTAACTGAAACAGAAATTATGACTGTCTGGTGGATATTCATGGAATGAATAATGGGAAGACATGTGTTTTAAATTTCAATTTTATATCTATCCAGTAAAAACCAAACTAGGATTGCTGTATATAATACAGGTAGTCCTCGATTTACAACAATTCATTTAGTAATGATTCAAAGTTACATCAGCTCTGAAAAAAGGGACTTATGACTATTTTTCACGGTAATGAACCATTGTAGCATCCATATGATCATGTGGTTGAGAACTGACTCACATTTATGACGTTGCAGTGGCCTGGGGAGGTCACACGATCCTGTTTTGTGACCTTTTGACAAGCAAAGTCAACGAAGAAATCAGATTCATTTAATAACTGTGTTACTAATTTAAGAACTGCAGTGATTCACTTAACAGATGTGGTGAGAAAAGTTGTAAAATGGAGCAAACTCACTTAACAATGTTCTCACTTAACACTTTGGGCTCAATGGTGATCGTACGTTGAGGACTACCACCACTCTACTACATGACCCAGGCCTGTAGAAGTGCCTCAGTGAGGGATCAGCATGGACTGGTGGCCATACCAAGAGGACCAGGAGAATTCAGACTCCAGCACTACATTTACATGATTAGATTGGAACCTAACAGTAATAGGTAACTTTAAGCTCTTTTCTAAAAAATCTGTTACAACAGATTCTGGGCAATGATAATAGTTGATGGCTAAACTAAACAAAAAAAAATGGTAATTGCTTTTAAGGAGAAATATTTTTGTTGGTTTATTGCTCTAAGAGACCATAATCTTCTATGTATTTATTCAGACATTATGCTATATTCATAATAATACAACACTATGCCCAGTAGAGCATGCTTCTCGATATGTTTTCAAGTCCCAGTCTTGGTATAAATGGATAGTGTTGTAGAAATAAATAATGTTAGCACACAATTCTGTTATCATGGGAACAAGAATAAATTGCTTATAGAGTATTGTTTGTTTATCAGTTGCCTCAATTGCTGAAGCAATATATGATGATATACAAAGTTAGGAAACAATTTAAAACAGACGTAAACATAGCCAAGAAAAATATAAATCACTCACATCAGAGGGGAAACAAAAATGCAAAACAGAAACCCCCCATTAGGGTCACAATTTATCATGTCTTAGGGCCATTTGAAAAAGCCAAATCTTTAAAGCTTTCTCGAGAAACTTCAGAATTCATTCAAAGGGTGTACGTTGGTTTCATGGCTTGCCATTCTGGTTGTTCTGACTTAGGCTTCCCAAAAGCATGAAGCAAACTCCTGGTCTCAAAAAATGCTGCTTTATTAAGTTACTGTGAATTCTGCTCATTCACATACAGCAGTCTTTCAAGGGAGGATTTACACACATAGACCTTATCTGGCATAGAGAGCTTCCAGGCCGATATCTGAAAAACTTGTCAAGGAGTTTTGGAGAGTCACAGGCCAATTAAGCAAACTAATTGTCTTCTGCAACTCCACTCTCCTTTCGCTCTTTTATTTCCTTTGGAATGGGCCATTCATCATCCATATGTGGCCTTACTCCCAAGTTGACTGCTGTTCTTTAGCTGTTCCCTTCGCCTGGAAACTCTGTGCATGCACACACTGGGAACAGGCTCCAGCTGTTTGTCTGCCTCACTGATGTCGGACTCTGAAAGCAGCTGATAACTGGCATATGGCTCTGGCCCCCATTCTCTGGCCCCCACAGAGCCCTCATCAGAGCCTTCCCCAGACACCAGGACTGGCCCATGTTCCTCCCCAACCTCACTGTCCGAATTTGCTGCCAGCTCCACCTTGACAGGCAAAGTCAAAGGGGGGGGGGGAATCTAGATTCATTTTGCAATAGTGTTACTAACTTTATCACCTGCGAGTCCAGAAATATAGGTTTGGGCATAACTCACTTTAAAACTGTCTCACTTAGCAATGGAAATTTGGGGTTCAGTTAGGATTGTAAGTTGAGGACTATTTGTACTTACTATCTGTATCTGCTATGAGAATACAGCCACAGATTATTTCCTATACAGGTCTTATAAAGAAGCACCACATTAATCTTTTCCAGTAGAACAACTAGAACGGAGTGGTTTCACTCTCAAAATCTATTGAGGACTCAGTAGAGTTTGAGGTTTCATGGATGGCTAGATAGCAGAACAAATAAAACGTTCTATTGAGCAAATGGGTTTTATACTTGCTAACATTGGATCCCACCTGGTTCTCCCCCATTACCCAAGAAAAGTGGTATTTATTCTTTCATTCACCAGAAGCATGTAACAGGAAGAAATAGAGATGAAACAATATGTCAGGCCTGCAGTTATATTCCTTTTTGGATCTTTGGCCTGCCATACTCTCTATTATTTTACTATGCTGTTTCATTAGTGTAGTAATTGGGAGAGGGAATAGTAAGGAGTGGAATTGTAGAATGTGTTGTTGTCATAATAGAACATTCCTTTCTAGAAGCCCAAGGTCGTTCTTTGTCTCTGCACATCTGCACATGACCGGAACTAGATGGGTGGAAATGCCAGTGTGGCAGAGCAAGATTGGACCATAAGATGGACTTGTGGGTGTGGGGACAAGATCATGAACTTTCAACTGGGGGGAAACCCAGGAAGCTTTTGGATTCGTTTTTTCACAGATGTACCAACATGTCTGTCTTATTAAATTGGAACTTTGATGAAAGTTATGTCTTGAACTCAATTTAATTCTGGATGATATTTGGAATGCTGACATTAACCCGAATCTCAAAGCTTCCTGGGTTTCCCCCCAGTTGAAAGTTCATGATCTTGTCCCCACACCCACAAGTCCATCTTATGGTCCAATCTTGCTCTGCCACACTGGCATTTCTACCCATCTAGTTCCGGTCAGGTGCAGACGTGCAGAGACAAAGAACGACCTTGGACTTCTAGAAAGG